CTTTGTCAAAAGACTAACTAAGGTTTATGAACCTTACAAACCAACACAGGATAAGTTGGGATTTTAGTACAGATTAGGGTGACCAGATGAGAGATGTGAAATATCGGGATGCGGCAGGGGGAGGGGGTGTGCCCCGGCAGAGCAAAAAACAAACAAACCCAAGAGCCGGTGGAGGAGGGAAAAAAGAAAAGAAAAGCCGGAGCATAGGAAAAATTGGTGGGGGCTGAGCACCCACCGGCAGCTCCACGCCCCGCCCCTCCACACCAGCTCACCTCCGCTCCGCCTCCACCTCCCCTGAGCTGGCTGCCACATCCTGCTTCTCCCCCCTCCTCCAGCGCTTGCACCGCCATACAGCTGATTAGCGCAAGCCTGGGAGGGAGGGGTGAGGAGGATGAATGCGGCGTGCTTGGGGAAGAGGCGGGGCCAGGGCGGGGATTTGGGGAGGGATCCAATGGGGCAGTGAGGGGGCGTGGCAAGGGCAGGAATTTGGGGAGGGATCCAATGGGGGAGGAAGGGGGCGGAGTTGGGGCGGGGGAGAGCAAGCCCCCTCTGCCTGTGCGCCGGAGCGCAATATATCAGGACAATTCGCGTCCCAACCGAACATCGGTCGGGATGCAGGACAAATAAGTAAATATCGGGACAGTCCTGATAAAATCGGGACATCTGGTCACCCTAGTACAGATCATTATAAAACAGGACCAGTGAAAAATTTGCTTTCAGGTCCAAACGGCCTCCAAGGCAGCAGGGTTTCAAAGTGCAGACTTTGGGTCCATCTTGAATCAAAGCACTGAAAGATGAATGGCTTTACTTGGTCTCAGCCCCAAGCTGGTTGAAATAACATTTTAATATTCCTCTAGAATTCAGAAAGGGATCTCTCTTTTCAAAACATAATATATAGTGGTCAGCTTACTTTTGAAGAACAGAACAGAACACTATCACTTCCTCATTAACTATAGTGAAACTATTTGCCCCGTTATAATATGCCTGAGTAGCTTTGTCTCTGTACCTTAATTGAAATAAGCTCATAAAACAAAGCTGGCTTCTCCCTGCCCTGGAGTAAAATAGATGCAATTATTGTTTGTTGGATGAAATTGCAAATTTGGGACCCTTAAATTCAGAATCCTTAAAACCTTTTGAAGTTAACACATGACTATTCTTAACTAGCAATGAGCGAGGAGGTGATGTTCAGATCTGATTTTGGTTGGGATTTAGGATAGGATTCGAGATATGGGTTCAGGAACTAGGGTTAATTCTGGATGCCCCACCATTAAGATTTCATTAGCTCTTCCTGTAAGATTTCTGCTACACTGAATGGGATAAGTGTTGTGAGATTGGCTATTCTAAGATATCTGCCATTTTAGGACATAATCTTGCAAGAAAAACAGTTCAGCACTATCCAGTCAGAACCAGAAACTAGGCCCCTGCCAATTTTGCAATCCAATCTGGAACCAAATCTTGAGATTCAAATCCCAAATATGACTCCACCTAAAGATTGAAAGCATTCAGGTTTGGGGTTCCAGCCGTATTTCATCTCTCCCTGGACCAGGATTTTCAGCAGAAATCTGTCAGCTCTATTGGTAACAGATCAAATTTCAGTTGACTTCTGCCCTTATTTTTCCATTGGCTTTTCAATCATAGAATATTAGGGTTGGAAGAGACCTCAGGAGGTCATCTAGTCCATTCCCCTGCTCGAAGCAGGACCAATCCCCAACTAAAATCAACTTTTGTTGCCATCTTCATGGGAATTTGTATATACATTATAATTTTGGATTTGATCACAATATCTCAACATCCACATTTTACTTTCACATTCAGGATAGGAACAAACTTCAGCATATTTCACCTGTTATTTCTCCCTCCAAAACTACGATTAACAGCAAATCTCACATGATTTCTGTACAAGCCATAAATTATTCCAGGTTAATTCAAAACTGCATCTAGATTTGATCAAAACTTTTTGCCAACCTGGTGAAAGTTAGCTGTTCTGTTCATTCCCTCTGGGGCCCCTGGCATTTGCCACTGTTGGAAGACAGGATACTGGGCTAGATGGACCTTTAGTCTGACCCAGTATGGCCGTTTTTATGTTCTTATGATCCCAAAACAGGTGATTCTTTTGCACAACAATTGGTATTTTATTGCAGATATTTTCCCTAGCACTTATAAAATTGGGCCACATTCTTCTTCTATTTATATCAATGATACTAATGTGATGGTAAATGAAAGCAGAACTGGGCACGAGTCTAGTAAAGAAGCACCTTAGTGATAAATAAAAGCCATACATTTGCTTGTTGAGTTTATCGTGTTTAAGATAAGAAACCAAAAGTCTTGGCTTTGCAAACCTAGGTGGGACATCTTAAGACAGCGGGTTTTTTTGGTAGTTAGCTCTCCAATGCTGCATGATTTTGGCCGTGTCATAAACCCTTTAAAGCCATATTTTCTTATTATATTTCTTCCCTCCTCCTTACAAATCAATACAAAGGCAGAAGTGCAGATGCTTAAAAGAAGAGAAAAACTTTTCTGCAGGATTTTTTTTATATCAGTGATTTCATAATACACCAGTGGCACCAAATGAATAAGTTCCTGTGTAGTTTCCAGGCCAGGAATGACTGTGGGGAAGTAGAGGTTCCTTAGCTGCCCATATCTGTGTTGTATGTAGGGATGAATAACTTGAAGTCTTTAAAGCATGGTTTGAGGACTTCAATAACTCAGCCAGAGGTTACTGGTCTATTGCAGGAATAGGTGGGTGTGGTTCTGTGAACTGAAACGTGCAGGAAGTCAGACTAAATTATCATAATTGTCCCTTCTGACCTTAGAGTCTATGAGTTATTTTGCATCAGATAAGGAATTGCCTGAACTTTACCGCAAAATTCAACAAAATCTATGTCTTTCCATAGTCAATAAATGTTCATATGGGGACAGATTGTGAACTCCTTAATCATGTTGAACAATAACTGACAATATGAGTAGTCCCATGGAATTCAGTGAGGCTGTTTATGGAGTAACACGTTACTCAGTGTGAGTATGGGGTGTGCAATATAGTTCTTAATTTTGATTGAATCATAGAAGATTAGGGTTGGAAGAGACCTCAAGAGGTCATCTAGTCCAACCCCCTGCTCAAAACAGGACCAACCCCAACTATATCACCCTAGCCAGGGCTTTGTCAAGCCAAGCCTTAAAAACTTCTAAGGATGGAGATTCCACCAGCTCCCTAGATAACCCTTTTCAGTGCTTCACCACTCTCCTAGTGAAATAGGTTTTCCTAATATCCAACCTAAACATCTCTCACTGCAACTTGAGACCATTGCTCCTTGTTCTAATCCCCCCGCCCCGCTCCACACACATGCTCCATCTGCTTTGCTTGCTTCCAACCAGGGCTGGATCAGGAAATTCCAAAATATTAGAAGTCTTGTTTAAATGAAACCATCAATTTAATTTCCAAAGCAAGAAGATTTGGATTAGTTGGAATAAGCTTCATGAGGGCATCATGACTTTTCAAATACTAGAAATTATTAACCCTTTGAAGTTTCCTTAATTTGTGTCTGAGATTCATCTCCCATAATCCAATTCCATTATCAATATTGCAGCATGTATATCTTTACTTTGAAATGTCACAGTGGTTGGGGAACTACTCTTTTAGAATAAATGGTGCTTGCATAAACGAAGTAGAAAAAATTGCTGCCACCTTTGGGATACTCTCAGCAAAAACAAGTATTGGTTTGTTGAAAGTTACAATAGAAAGATATTTCACAGAGATCCTGCTTGCTGCAGAAAAGTGAGTTGGGAAATACATGCAGTAAAATAACATAAGAAGTCCAATTGTTCGTGTTTTATGTAGCGAACAGCAATCATTTCTCAATATACCACTGCAAAAATTGTCACCTGCTTGGTTAGATTAATATTGATGGGGTATAGTCCTCTTAGATGAAGGATGCAACCCTAAAACTAAAACCAAATGGAACACTGGCTACAGCATATGGATATACAGAATGATATCCTCACTGCTTAAAATATAACTATCATCATCTAGTCTTACCAGGTAGGTCGCAAACAGTGCTTGGCTTGTCTACATATCAGTAGTTTAGTTTTACAGCTTGTTTATTCTGCCTGCCCTCCGACTTGCATGGAGGCTAGTCTGTGAAATTCTGTATCCCAGTTGTATAGTCATTTCCAGCAGATTTCATTATATACTTGTTGTGCTGGGTTAAATATGCTGGCTACCAAGACAGACCCTGCATGCTCAGCAAAGTCTTTTCTTTTCTTTTCTTTTCTTTTTTTAAAGATCAGGGAACGTTAGTGTCAGTGAGAATAAATCAAAAGGTGATAACATCTGAGAAAAAGAAAACCTCATCCAGAGAAAAATAATAGCTCCTCTGAAGAGATGCCACCACAGACAATATCATGTCTTTCCAGCACTGGACAGCGATATTAAAATATGCTGGGTATCAACCTTGTCAACTGGAGAGACACTCAGACATGCATCCTATAACTTTCCAGGCAGGAGGTGCGAGTACCACCAGCAGAGCCATAATGACACACAGTAAAGAAGTAACTTGGAAGCTGTGTCATCCTCCTCACTTTCCACGGCAGACCTGACTTGGCAGTCGGTTTTGCAAGTGGTCTCTCTCACATGCCTCTATGAAGGATGATTTACAGGCCCACAAGTTACACGTACACTGCCCAAGGTGCCAATACCCCTTAAAAAGCGCTACAGTGGCATTGCCATATGCAGAACGGAACAGTAAGCTAACAGCAGCAAGCTGACTGTACCCCAATGTCTGTAAAGGAAAGAGAAGGCTGTCTAAGAAAAAAAAAGTACTACAACATTTTTCTCTGCAACAAAATTAAGCTGACTCATGCCCCTAGTCGTTAATTTCAATTTTTTTTTAATCCAAACCATCTTCAACAGAACAGGGGGTGGGGGAGAAGCCCCTTATTAAGCCAACCTTGTTCTCAGAAGTTTATACTCTGACCCACCCCCTGCTGTTAATTAAAAAACTTACCGCTTTTGCCAACTCCCCCAGCTCCCAGCATCACCACCTTGTACTCCCTGGAGCCTGCTGAAGAATTGCTGGAGGAGCTGATCATTTCATTTTCTAGCTCCATCTTGCACAAGGGACCAGAGGAGAGTGAGAAGGAAGAAAAAGCAACTGACAGGTGCTTGCTCTGATCTTAAACAACTATAAAAGCAGCATAAAAAAAGGAAGGTATGATACAAGAGGTACGATTTATCAGCCTCACACTCACGGCTGTTCCTGTGGTAGCTGGAGAAGGTCTCATAGCAACCACTTTAACAGCTTCCAATAAAAATCTCTCTCTGCCCCCTCCCATCTCTGTATCATTCTCTCTATGTATCTCTTCCTGGACAGAAGCAGTTTTGTAAAGCTCAGGAGCTCTGGTGCGTATGGTTGTTTCTGTGTCATTAGATTTTAACTAAGCGGAGCCTCGGGGGGAAAAATTGATTAAATATCTCTTAATGTTTAAGCTTCTCAAAGCAGAACTTATTTTATTTTAAAGAGAGAATGGAGGCGTATCAGCCAGTTGCTTTGCCACTGGGGTGTTAGCCTGTGTTGACTGAAGTTGCCAGATTTGCACTCAGTTGAATCATCCATTTCCAGAAAATTAAGAGACAGCTTTATTAAATACTCTTTTTTCTGTTTTTCAACCGTTTCACAAATAACACAACCTCTACATTTTAGGATTTTCCATAGCATCCATTGTTTTAGTATCGTTCACAGATAGAAGTGTTGAGTTTGATTCAATATGATTATTTGTAGAAATTTGATTTTTCTTCCCATGAAAAGATTAAAAACAAATTTCATGAAAAATGGCCACTATTTGAGAAACATCACTAATTATTTGTGAGTGTTTGAAACTTCTGGGATTTACAAATATTTCCATGCTTATCCAACCATTGTCCATAGATTTTAGCAACCAGGGATTATCTGGCCAAATAGTTTTACCAGCAGTTCATTATTTATTATTCTCCTTTTTAAAATATTTCAGCTACCCACTCAGGAAGCAGGAAAAATACCATGTGACTTATCTGACCAACTGAGCAACCCGGATAATGAATAGCAAATAGGCAAAGCCTGAACACAACTCAAAAGGTTTATAGAGGGAGGGAATGGGAATAGAAGAAAGACAAAGGTAACTGCTGAGATCATGGGGTTGCTCAGGAACGTGCGTGCACATCTGGAAGGCTTTGTTCCTACTCCTTCACTTCTTGTAATTGTGTCACAAGATTTAAACAATTGACAGAAAGTAGCATCCAGGCTTTAAAATGGAAAAAAAAATCAGTAGTAGAACTGGTTGGAAAATAGGGATGGGAGGAGATGATCCGGGGGGTTGACTTTTTGTCAAAAAACTGGAAACTTAAATTTTTCGGGAGACATTTACATTTTCTTGGTTTTTGGCTGAAAATGGTCAGTTTTCAATGTTTTAGTTTTCTGATGAAAACTCGGATGTGAGGAATGTAGGCTCTTTCCGTGTAACATTTTGTCTAATCAAAAACTCAATGTTTCCTGAGCAAAAATCTTTGATGCAAAATTTTTGACCAGACCTATTCGAGAAATCCAGAGGTTCATTTCAATTAAGTACTAAAGGCCAAAGTTTATAATAGGAGTCTAAATTTAAATCCTTTTTTAGACTCCCAAATACTGTAACTGGACTGATTTGCAAAACTGGTAAGCACCCAGCAACTTTCGTTAAAGTCCATATTCTATTTTGCTCTCCCCCCCCCCCCCCCCCCCCACTAGCCAGTGACTTTTTTGGGGAGGGAAGTAGCTTTAGACAAAAGCTGTGGGAAGGTCTTACATTTCAGTTCATTGTGCAAGGATTTAGACAAGCAGTTCACAATAAGGTGGCAGATATAAATGTGTGTGTTGAACACACACCAATATCATGCACTGAACTGAGAATGTCCCCCCCCAATATATTCTGGAGAAAACATAGCAATCATTGGATCAGAATAGGTAAATAATTCTCTAGTGCAGCTTTTCCATATAGATAGCTGGATGGATGTAGTGGAACATGCCATTAACACTGCATCTCACTGCTTTATACAGTGAGTAACACTATAATCATTTGAAACTCCAGGGGGAATGTAAGGAGGCAGAATGTAATTACTTAAGATGGAATTTAGCCAAGACACTGACATTACCTCAGCTAGTTGTACAAAATGTGCCATGGGATCCTTAATGAACACAAATGGTCAGAGAGCAGCTCCACCAGCCCATTCAGACTGGGATCAATCCAACTCCAGGTGAAGTCAATGAGAAGATTCCCATTAGCTTCCATAGGAAATGAATCACTCTTATTGTCCTTAACATCATACTCAAGTGTTACTACAGTATTGACTCAGCAGGAAGAATGCTACATATCATCATCACCATTTCCTGAAGCATTTGGGTTTTCCTGGTGGTCTCCCATCCATATAACCAACCCATTCCTTAGAAATTAGCAGTAAATCTTGGTTGACACTAAGGGTATGTATTCACTACCGGCCAGATCGGCAGGCAGCGATCAATCCAGCAAGGATCGATTTATCGCGTCTAGTCTAGACGCGATAAATCGATCCCCGAGCGCTCTCCCGTTGACTCCTGTACTCCAGCTCCACGAGAGGTGCAGGCAGAGTTGACGGGGGAGTGGCAGCAGTCACTCTGTAGTGAAGACACCACGGTAAGTCGATCTAAGTACGTCGACTTCAGCTACGTTATTCACGTAGCTGAAGTTGCGTAACTTAGGTCGATCCCCACCCACCCAACCCCAGTGTAGACCAGGCCTAAGCTTTATCATGACTAGTGAAAGAGGGTGGGTGAGTTCAGAGAGAATCTTTGAGAAATACTCCCATCACAGCTAGCACTGATCATCTACAAACAAACAACTGTGGATCTCATTACCATTCCGTCCCACGATCCAAACCTTGTTCTAGTAGTTTGTAACCACAACCCTATTTTGGATTTACAGCCTAATCCGGCTTTCACTGAATCCTGAACTATTGAAAACTCATTAATTTCAGTAGTGCAAGATCAAGCTCTTAGACCCTAAGAAGCCATATCTATTTTATGGCAACACTATGTATCTCCCCATAACCACCCAAGTAGGAGCCTGGGCTGTAAGGTCTGAGGTCTTTTTATGCAGTAAACAGCAGCAGCCATAAGTTAAGAATCAGAGAGTCACATCCTCACATTCCATCTAAATGGCATCAAAACAAAGCAATATTGGGCTGTTAAGGAGGCGCTCCTGTCCTAATAGTACACACCATCACCACATAAAGAAACAGATTTTAGATGTTTAAAGAAAACTTTGTTTTCTGGCAAGAAATCACTTATCAACAGTTGTGATTGTGAAATCTGTACTTCTTTATTGTTTTGACTTTATGATCCCCACTTCTCTACTGTTTATCGGTATGGTTTCTGTCTGATTCTTTGATTGTTTCTGTCTGTTGCATAACTAATTTTGCAAGATTTAAATCAACTAAGGTGGTGGGGTGTGATTGGGTAAAGAATTGTTTCATAATGGGCTAGGATTGGTGAAAATACTGTTTTGTAGAACTTTAGTTTAAAATGATTGGTTAAGGTAGAGCTAAGCAGGACCCAAGTTTAACTATATAAACTGGGGTCCAAAAGGAAGTTCTTCAGAACCTAATTCCAGGACACAGGCCAAGATCAGAGCTGCCAGACCTCAACACCCTGCCAATCATATCATACAAAAGCCGGAGCCCTGGATGACCTGATCCTGATTGGCCACCAGGAAAAGTTCTTCTGCCTTATTGGGAGTGGTGAACGTTGTGTGCTTAGCACGTGTATTCTGCTTTGGTAACTGTTAATAAATAGAGGTTAAGGATATTCATGTTTAAGGCTCTTTCACTGGTAAAAGGCCCCACAAACCCACAGAAGATTACGCCCTGAGTCCTAGGAACTGAGTACGGGTAGATGCCTTTCACCCAGAGTCCTAGGAACTGGAAAAGGGTGGAAGTGACTAAATTAACTGGGTTACGCCGTTAGCCCATGGAAGGTTAAAGATGGGGTGCCCTAGAGTGTGCGGGTAACAGGGCAAGAACAGGGTTTTTTGCTCTCAGGCTGCTTCTGAGAGAATTTGCACAAGTGTGTTGATATGAAACTACTCATTGTAATCCACATACTGTAGTAAAAAAACCTCCAATGTAACTACCTTAATAACAATAAAAGGAGGAAATTGCAGACCTATATCTGATGCTGTGATTTTTGGGCCTTTACAATTTTTGGTGCATAATACGATAATCTGCAAATTCTAAGTTTGCATTAAAAATTCTCTATATTTGTTCCATTTCAAAGGTACATTTGTCAGGATGTGAATCAATAGAAAAACATCCGTGGCCAAAGAATAGCATCTGCAAAGGTGGGGAAGAGCTGGGGAAATAATCCAAAATGAATATATATATATATAAAGAACTGCCTCTTTTGCAGTCCATGGATTGCTCATGAATAGATAGCCAGACTGTCAGGTTTGTCATTCAGGATAATTTTTGCTCTGTAATTTCTGAACATTTTTGCAAGCAGTTCATTGCATGCATTTAATATTTAAAATCTCAATTGTTTCAGCTGAGTACATGTTGCTACTGTTAATACTGTAAATTGTGGTATAGACAAGATTGCGCCTTGAGGCATCACCTTCAGTAAGGGGCCTTGCTCCAGGGGAAGGACTAGAAGAGACTGTGTATCAGAGACTGAGCAAAGCAGTATTCCACCTAGGGATGCCTTCTTGCTCTGGGGGTGTGGAATAAAATAATCAGAGGGTAATGCCACATGTGAATCCTATGTGATTGCTGCCTGCAGGACTGTACCTTTGAAAGGCTTTATCAATTAACCTGGATATGTATTCTTGTCACTAGGCAGAGAGCTTGGAGGTTTAAAATCTTGAATCACAAGCAAAATGTAAATCTTAAGTGATTTGTGTTCCATGGATTTAAATGATGGGTTTAAAGACACGTTAACTATTTAATAATAAGTGAATATGCATGAGCACATTGGGGACCGTTCCATTAAGGAGATACTAACTGCTCTTCCACTCCTCATGTTCTCATCTTATCCATAGCATTCGGAAGAAATGTTTAAACAAATGAA